TACCCAGCCAGGGCCCTTGAGACACATGATCCTTAGCCTCTCACCCAGGAAGCAGGGTCAACACAGGTAGGGTGGCAGAGGGCTTATACGTGTGGGCTTTGAAACCATGAGACCTCTTTTTCCCCCTTTTTATGTAACATAAAACTTACCATTTTAACCATTTTTGTATGTGCAATTCGGTGGCACCAAATGCATTCACAATTTCATATAACAATCACTGCTATTTCCAAAACTTTTTCAGCATCCAGTACAGAAATGCTGTAACTACTAAGCAATAACTCCCCATCTGCCCACCACCTCAGCCCGTGGTAACTCTATTCTATTGTCTCTATGAATTTGCCCGTTTAATTACCTCATCTAAGTGCAATCATACAATATTTGTCCTTTTGTGTCTGGCTTCTTTCACTTAGAGTAATGTCTTCAGGTTCCATCCACTTCAGAATTTCATTCCTTTTTAGGGCTGCATAATATTCCATGCTGTGTATCAGAACCTTGTGTTGAATCCTGGCTTGGCTATGAGACCCAGGACAGCCTGCCAGGCATCTCTCAGTCTCAGAATCTTCTTTGGCAAAAGAATAATAATCTCTATTCTACATGATAATGAGATCATGAATAAGGGATGTAGTTGTTCCTTGGGAGCCATGGAATTAGGAGAGTTTAATGTAACATGATCAACTAAAGTAACCTCAGCCCTCCATTTCTACTACATAAAAGACCTTACCACCCAGTATGGGACCCAAATACTCCACACCTATTGGCTAAGATCACATGTGCTTCCTGGGTTCATCTCCCTTCCCCAACTGCCCCTCCCACCCTGTCTTCAGTCTCCCCTTCCATTCAGGCCCAATCATCCTATGAGTGATGAATATATGTTCTACATAAGCTATGCCAGCCCTGGGAATCACTCTTTCTCTTTCTGGGCTAATTTATATATCTCTGATCAAATCTATTGAGATGTTGGCTTTAAAGTTTAACTCTCTTTTCTTTCTTCTTTCCCTTGCTCTTTCTTTCTTTCTTCTTTCTCTTTCTGTCTTTCTCTCTCTCTCTCTCTTTTTTATTTTTATTTTTTTATTTTTTGGAGACGGAGTCTCGTCCTGTTGCCCAGGCTGGAGTGCAATGGCACAGTCTCTGCTCACTCCAATCTCCACCTCCCAGGTTCAAGCAATTCTCCTGCCTCAGCCTACAAGTAGCTGGGATTTAGCCATCCTGGCTAATTTTTTGCTCTTTAGTAGAGATGAGGGTTCACCATGTTGGCCAGGATGGTCTTGAACTCCTGACCTCATGATCTGCCCACCTCAGCCTCCCAAAGTGCTGGGATTACAGGCGTGAGCCACCGCACCCAGCCCTTTCTCTCTCTCTCTCTTCCTTCCTTTCTTTCTCTTTCCTTTCTTTCTTTCTCTCCTTCCTTCCTTCTTCCTCTTTCTTTCTCTATTTCTCCTTCCTTCTTTTTTTCTTTCTTCCTTCCCTTCCTTTTTTTTTTTTTTTTTTTTTTTAATCCGGGTCTCACTCTATTGCCCAGGCTCAGGCTGGAGTGCAATGACATGATCATAGCTCACTGCAGTCTCAAGTTCCTGGACTCAAGCACTCCTCCTGTCCAAGCCTCCTGAATAGCTAAGTCTAATCCCAAGTGCATGCCATTATACCCGACTAATTTTTAAAAATTTTTGGTAGAGATGGGGTATCGCTATATTGTCCAGGCTGGTATTGAACCCCTGGGCTTAAGGAATCCTCCTGCCTCAGCCTCAAAATGCTGGGATTATAGGCAAGAGTCCCTGTGCCCAGGCTTAAAGTTAAAATCTCAGAATGAAATCTTATTTTTATCGTTTTCAAGTTTGGACCAAACTTCTCACCATAATCCCCAAAAACCCACAATAATTACTTTGTAGCCACACTTCATTTTATGAAATTGGGTTGACCAGTCATAATCACCCGTTCCTCCTCCACTGTCTCTGTTCACTAGACTTGACTTTAAGTAACTTTTGGCATTTGAAAAAAAAAAAAAAAATCAAATCCATTCTCGAACACAAGAAGATTTATTACCAGTGAAAATGCGTTGACAAATCTGACACAGGCTTCAAGGGCAAACCCAAAAGAGTATCAAAAATGTTTTAAGAAATGGCAGGCATCAGAGAGATATGGTGAGTACTTTGAAAGGGTGGCAATCATTTGGACAGGTAAATGATATCACAGGCGGCCCCTCATCTGCGTTGGTCTGACTTACCATTTTTCAGCTTTACAATGGTGCAAAAGCAATGCTCTTTGAGTAGCAACTGTACTCCAGATGAATGTTGACCTTTTCCCAGGCTGGCGGTACGCGGGACAGCACTCTATTGCATGACTGCTCAGCCACACAGTCACCAGAGTAAGCAACTGACAGTCTACAGCATACAGCATTCAACAAAGTACGCGAGATATTCCACAGTCTGTGACAAAACAGGCTTGACATTAGACGATTTTGCCCAACTGTAGGCTAATGGCCGTGTTTAGAGCACCTTTAAGGTAGGCTAGGCTAAGCTGTGATATTTGGTGGGTCTGGTGTATTAAGCGTATTTTTTATTTACAATATTTTCAACTTCCAATGATTTTACCGGGATGTAGCCCCACCATGTGAGTCAAGGAGCATCTGTACATGGCTATTATTTATTTATTTATTTGTTTGTTTGTTGTTTTTGAGACAGTCTCACTCTGTTGTCGAGGCTGGAGTGCAGTGGCACCATCTCCACTCACTGAAACCTCCGCCTCCCAGGTTCAAGAGATTCTTCTGCCTCAGCCTCCCGAGTAGCTGGGATTACAGGCACATACCACCACGCCTGGCTAATTTTCTAATTTTCAGTAGAGGCAGGATTTTGCCGAGTTGACCATTCTGGTCTCAAACTCCTGACCTCAGGCAATCCACCCGCCTCAGCCTCCCACAGTGCTGGGATTACAGGCATGAGCCATGGCGTCCGGCCAGTACATGGCAATTTAAAATGCAGCCACGCTCCCTCATAGTCACAAGTGATCCATCAAACCCTTTGTTATTGGGCAGTAAATACCTTCTGGGGGTGCAGCTAGTACTGGCCACAGCCCATGGCCAATGCAGCATTTACTGGAAGCTTCAAGAGCCCCCATCTTGCATTCTGCTTCATAATTCATCAGTGACGTTCTGAGATGTGCCATGCTTACCCCACTGCGTTCTCCCAGTAGGAGTGAAGGAGAGTCTGATATATCACCTTGAATTCCCTGTTTGTTGGTTACAGAGATTGCTTTTTCACTTTTTCAAAATTCAGTTTGAATGGAAATGTAGACTATGAGGTGGTGTTGATTTATCACACTGGATTCTCCTGTCGGTTCCTGTCTGCTGGGGAGGAAGCTTCAAATCTACTCTTTCAGTTTAAGTGGTTTTCATTGGTGAATTGATGGTCATCTAGGCCCTGAGGCTGGCACCCAGGGCCCCGGGAGTGAGGCAGAAAAGGGTGAAGCATCTTCTTCGGCTTTTCAAACTGAGCACTAGCTCCTACTCTGTGTCCCTAATAAAACTCGAAGGTTCTAATGAGCCTGTGCTGTGTCTTGCTTATTTTTCTGTTTCCTGTAGCATGTGGGCAGTGCCCTGCACATAGTAGGCACTCAATAAATAAATGTCTGTTGTATTAAACAGTCATTTTGAGATCAGAGTGCCAGCATGGTTAGATCCTAGTGAGGGCCACCTTCTCACTGTGGCCCTACATGGCAGAGAGAGGAAGCAGGCTCTCTGGTGCCTCTTCTTATAAGGGCACGAATCCCGTCCTGAGGGCCCCACCCTCATAACCTCATTTAAACCTAATTGTCTCCCCAAAGTCCCATTTCTAAATACCACTGGATGTCAGGGCTTCAACACATGCATTTTGGGGAGATATAATTCAGTCCGTAGCAGTACCCAAGAAGTGAAATAAGAAACTTACTGTGGTGGAACTTTTGATATACATCTTACCCATTCTCCTAACAGAGAAATGCCTAGCCACCAGGATAGAAAATAAACTCAGGAAGACCAAAAATAATATGCATAAATGCACACATGCACACACACATACACAATCATTTTCTTTCTGGAATCTGAGCTTTTGCTCTGAACTTGTAAATATCTGGTGAGTATGCTTGGAATGGGGTAATTTTAAAGGGAATGTATTTTCAAATGTATGACCTGGAAGCTAGTTTAGGAATTACTCTTCTTTTCTCGCCCTGTATCCTCATCAGACAGCCTTTCCTTCCCCCAGTTCAATGCCTGGTGTTCTGTGGTCATTTCAATAGGGACAGACCAAGGTGAATAACATGTTAACAACACTAACATCTGTTGTGACTTTATGCCTAAGGCTCTGAGGGTCTGGTGTGCTTCTTTAGATTGACAGATATATTTGCCTCCCGGGTTCAAGCACTTCTCCTTCTTCAGCCTCCCAAGTAGCTGGGATTATAAAAATATAAAAATTAAAAACAAACAAACAAAAAATACAAAAATTAGCCAGGCGTGGTGGCGCACACCTATAATCACAGCACTTTGGGAGGCTGAGGCAGGTGGATCACTTAAGGCCAGGAGTTCGAGACCAGCCTGGCCAACGTGGTAAAACCCCATCTTTCCTAAAAGTACAAAAAGGAAAGAAATTAGCTATGTGTGGTGGCCCATGCCTGTAATCCCAGAGGCTGAGGCATGAGAATCGCTTGAACCTGGGAGACAGAGGTTGCACTAAGCCAATATCATGTCATTATACTCCAGCCTGGATGACCAAGTGAGACTCCACCTCAATTTAGAAAAAAAAAAAAGACCTTCTAGGAAACAAAACAGAAGGTCTGTCTGTTGCAGACCCTTCACGTGGCTGTGTGCTCATCAGTGTCATTGTCTGTTTGTTTGGGTTTATAAAAATAATTTGCTTTAAAATACTTGAGCTTAGCAACATTTCATTGAAAAAATGATGGAAACCTGAGATTGCATATTTTAGGAAAAGCAGTCTCTCATCACTCACCGTTTTTCCATTGTATTCTCCTTGCAGCCCAAGCTGTTGGCCAAGGAGCTTCTTGACCTTGTGGCTTCTCACTTTAATCTGAAGGAAAAGGAGTACTTTGGAATAGCGTTCACGGATGAAACGTAAGTACTGCCGGCAGCCCTCATAGCTCAGAGGGGAGCTCAGTGCAGAACCGAAAACTGCTCCGCTCCAGCTGTCAGCAGCAAAATCAGCTGCAGGCCACTTGGGTCCCATGGTCTGGGGTCAGTCCAAGTTCATCATCTGAATTTCAAAGGCCTTGCGGTCATGCCTGGTGCCACCAAAGGGTATAATTAGGGTGATGTTAATATTATAAAATTATTAGGTGAACTAGCTCTTCTAATCAAGCAGGTTTATGTTCAGACTGAAATGTTTATTATTTTTTTAAAGTGGATCTATGTGGGTTTGTTTTCTGTTTAAGTTAAATGAAAACTTCTGGAAATGAATCGTTTCTCTCTACTGTTGGCTTAACAATAACAGGAAGCAAATTTGATGATAAATTGAAAAAGAAAATAACCGGTACTCACTATCTGACCTGAAATAGAGTAACTATGAACATACAAAATTCAGATCACTGATCTCATGAGAAGAATATTTGCTTTCAAAGGTCTTTTCATTTTGGCGCCATAAAGTGGTGTTTTGTAATACAAGTAAGGAAAATCTTTACTAAAATTTCAATTTCCTTTTTAATGTTCTGTTATCAAAAGAGTTTGGTGAATACCTGCATAGATTTCTAGATAAAAATGAGCTATTTTAAGAAAATAGTTCATAATTCTCTTTCCCGTGTGTGCACACGCATACACACAAGCACGCACGCACACACACACACACACTCTTCCGGATCTTTAGAATTACACAGATGATTTCCTAAATTACTAATAGGTCAGCGTTAGGTTAGTGGCTGGGCAGGACAGTACAGGGGAGGCCAGGCCCTGGGAATCAGGCGGTGCCACTGACGCAAGAACAGGCAGCATCCACGTGGGCCAGTGGGAGATGCGACCAGATGTACCTGCACGTGGCCACAGTTGGCCTTGGCGAGCTGCAAGTGGACAGGGTGGCCCTATGACTTATTATCCAGATTGGGACACTGGACGAAAGAGAATGTCATTGGGACTGTCTTGGGCAAACTGGACCATGTGATCACTCTATAAATCAGGGACATTTCAAGCTGTGCTGTGTTCAGAGAGCAGGCAGCTGGAGCAAAGCCACATCTCCCTTAAGAAAGCTGGGAGGAGCAAGGTCGGCCACTCACCCTGGAGCCTGCAGGGAGCTGGACTGCAGGTGGGGGTGGCCATCTGTGGGCAGGGGGAGTCACAGGTAGGGCCAAGTAAGCCCGTGGGCGAAGTTCAGGGCGCTCACGGGAAGGACCTAGCACTGCAATTTTTAAAAATATGCACATCTAGAATACTTACTTTTAGAAATTTAGATTATTTTCTCCCTTTTCTCCTGAGAATCACTGTAAACCACTTAAATTGCCGTTAGGCCTGTTTTCACTAATCAGAAGGAAACCCTAAGTTTCAATTCATCATATTCCCATTGTTCACATTTCCCCCGTAAACGAAAGATCCTGGGAGTGAACTCTAGAGGAGCCCCAATTAGGCTTCCCTTTTGAATAAACAAGAATTGAGAAATGGTCATGTGATCCTAGGCTGAAGGGGAAGGTGATGTGCATCTGCAGAACGTTTCAGATCTCTGCCCTAACAGCACTGGCTGGCAGGAATCAGATCTAGGTAGAAAGTCACTCTTCTCCCAGGAGGGACGAGAGCACCAAAGCCACACATCGCAGCAGGGGCTGCATACAGCCAAGTCCATCTTCCCCATTCAGCTAAGCTGGTATGCTCCAGGTCTGAGCTCTCCTGGCTCTCTGTGCTGACCAGTAAAGCATGTGTGTGTCTGTCTGTGTGTGTAGAAGCCAGGCTGGATAAGAGGCGTGTGTACGTGCATGCGTGCGTGTAGAAGCCATGCTGGATAAAATGTTGGGAGAGGGGGCCAGGCTGGATAAGAGTGTCTTGCCCCCTCTGCTAGTGGTGGAGTTGGCTGCGTGGAGGCTCTGTCAGGGGCAGTGATGAAGAGAAGTGAGCCATCCTCATCCTTCCGGCATGATCAGAGAAAGTGCAGCGACTTCCATCACCACCCTAGAGTCTGGGTGGGAGGGTCTCTCCAGCCACAGAAGAAGTGGCAGCCAGCCAGCAGAAGGTCAGCCAACCACTGGAGCTAGCAAAAGTTTTCCAAAAAAGAACTGGCAGATGTGCCTGGTACACCAGGGGAAAGGGCAGGTGTCAGGAGCCCAGAGGAGGTGAAGAGCTGACACCTTCAAGGTTGGACAGTGGGGAGACCATGACCCAGGGTCTGTCAGTCCTGGTGGGACAACACCAGGGCCAGCAGACATTGTGAGTGACTCATTGAACTTTTCTCCTTTTCCTGGTAGGAAAGAAGAACAAGAGCTGCCCTTGCTTAATAGTGCCCCTGGGTGTCACCTGCTCTGGCTTGGTGATTCCTAGGTAGAAAGTGCTGGCCTTACAGTACTATGTCCCCCAGCCTAGCTCTGTATCACAGGTCACTACAGCAAGATTGTTTTATCACCATGTTTTCCAATTCTACTTGTGTGAGTGAGTGTGTGTGTGTGTGTGTGTGTGTGTGCTTTATACAGGTGCTATACTGTTTTATAATAAAATGCAATCATTTTATTATAAAAAAGCAGTTCAATTCTTTTGGATAGCCTATGGCATATCACATGTATTTGCCTGTTTCCTAATGCAAATAAAACAAGGCTAACACGTGGAAAGCAGTTATAAACTGTAAAGTGCTATGCAAGTGGAAGATACTCCTACCAGCAGCATGATCATTCCTAAGAGTAGAATTTCTAATGGTAGATGGGGCACAGTGGATCACACCTGTAATCTCAGCACTTTGGGAGGCCAGGGTGGATGGATTACCTGAGGTCAGGAGTTCAAGACCAGCCTGGGCAACATGGCGAAACCGCATCTCTACTAAAAATACAAAAATTCGTTGCGGGTGATGGCACATGCCTGTAATCCCAGCTACTTGGGAGGCTGAGGCAGGAAAATCACTTGAACCCAGGAGGCAGAGGCTGAGATCGTGCCACTGCACTCCAGCCTGGGCAACAGAGTAAGACTCTGACTCCAAAAAAAAAAAAAAACAGTCATATATTGTTAGAGACTCGTTCAGAATTAAGTGCTGTTGACATTTTGTGGGATCTAGATGAAACTGGAGAAAATATATATAAAGCAAAATGTAGACAGGAAATTGGAAAGTTCTCTAAGCTTCTCCCACCCCATAAGTTGTATTCGTTAATAAAGCATCTGAGTCCACAGTGCAAGAACTTATGGCCAAGAATGTTTAATATTGTTAGCAATCAATGGTTTTGCAGCGTTAAAACCACACCTGCTTTCTCTTTTTTTAATCTTTTAACTTTAATTTTGAAATAGACTGAAAGAAGAATTGCAAACATACTGGGGAGTTCCTGTATACCCTGCACCCAACTTCAACAAATGTCAACATCTTGCAAACCATGTTACTTTAATCAAAACTAAGAAATTAACATCAGTATTATATTACTAACTAAGCTACAGACTTGATTTGGATTTCCCCAGTTTTTCCACGAATGCTCTCTTCTGTACCAGGATTCATTTGCATTTGGCCTCCTTTTATTTTTACTAATTCTGCCCTCATAAAACTGTGGTCACCTATATAAATGATCTGAATCATGGTGCCATATGCAAACAATGACACTTTGGCAGCCTTTAAGACATATTGAAACTAACCAAAAGCCTGGTATAAATCCAATGTTAAAATAATTATTTATATTTTGCCAGAGTTACAGATCTCAACCCCAGCTGCACATTGGAATTACCTGGAACACTTTATAAAATACCAACCCCTGGGACCCACCCCCAGAAATTCCAATTGAATCTGCCTCGGTGTGACCTAAGCATCATCTTTCAAAGCTTCTCAGTTGATTCTGGTGTGCAGGCAAATTTGAAAACACCTTTTCTAGACAGAGGCAACGTTGCCATATTTCCTCTGCTCTCTCCCTCCAGAGCAAAGTAGAAAAGCTGATTCTACTTCAGCTTTGAATGTTGGAGGGTAGCAATGACTCATACCGGGGCCTCCAAAGCTACAGACCCCTTCTAGCTTCCATTCCTCACAGTATGAGAACCAGCTCAGACGTTCGGGTTCAATATTTCCAGTTGTACAAATAGAGTAACTGAGATTTTCATTTATCAAACACTGGCATCCATCCCTTAGATAAAATCATATTTACATTTTATTTTTGAAATATTTCTATCACTGTTTTAAGACCAAAATTTCAATTATTATTTTTTTAATCGTGGGCTGAGTGCAGGGGTTCATGCCTGTAATTTCAGCAATTTAGGAGTCCAAGGTGGGACGATGCCTTAAAGCCAGGAGGAGTTCGAGACTCGCCTGGGCAACAGCAAGACCCCATCTGTACCAAAAAAAAAAAAAAAAAAAAAATCGTGGCTCACCCCTGTAATCCCAGCATTTTGGGAAGCCAAGGCAGGCAGATCACTTGAGGTCAGAAGTTTGGGACCAGCCTGACCAACATAGTGAAACTCCATCTCTACTAAAAATACAAAAATAAGTGGGTGTGGTGGTATGTGCCTGTAATTCCAACTACTCAGGAGACTGAGACACGAGAATTGCTTGAACCCAGGAGGTGGAGGTTGCAGTGAGCTGAGATCATGGCATTGCACTCCAGCCTGGGTGAACAAGTGAAACTCTGTCTCCAAAAAAATAAAAATTGTAAACACTTGTAGTCCCAGCTACTCAGGAGGCTGAGGTAGGAAGATCACTTGAGCCCAGGAGTTCGAGACTGCACCGAGTTAAGATTGCACCACCACACTCCAGCCCGGGTGACAGAGTGAGACCTCATCTCAACAACAACAAAGCTAAATTAAATTAAAAAGTGACTTGCAGACTAGGGAGTGGGATGCAATGGAAGATCCCATCATCAAAAGCTATAGCCTAAACAACTTTTAAGCTATTCAGCAGCAATAGTCAAACACACCCAAGTTAAAGGAATGATTGTTATAATATATTTAAATTTTAATTTGAATCTCCT